GTAAATGTTCTTCTCTTAGTAATTCTGCAGAGGCAGTTGATACTTTATTCCACTCTTCCCCAACCTGACATCTTTCAAATGTGTGGGGTCTCTACAATTCCAAGTTTCCTTATTATGGCCACTGTTTGTTTTTATCCCACCTTTATTTTTGGTCAACTCAAGGTGCATACATAGCTAATGCTCCCACCTCCTACTTTTCCCACAATAACAAACCTGTGAGGTAGGTTGGGATGATAGAGATTGACTGGCCCAACATCACCCAGCCATTTTTTGTGCCTAAGAGAGGACTAAATTCACAGTTTCCTTGTTCCTAGCCCAGCACCTTGGCCACTAAGCATTTTACAGATTTCAGAGGTCAATTGGAAACACACTTTGAGTTTTTTCACCAAATTCATGTATGCTCTCTTGTTCTCTTCAGATCCCATTTGGGAGGCAATTGAGAGGTCAGAAGCTAAAGTTCCATTGATCAACACACTCAGCATGTCAAGCACTGTTGTAAATAATTCACTAAAAAGGGAAAAGAAAAAAAAGTTACATTCTGAAGGGCAGTACTGGTGCCTACAGTGAAGCAGAAGCTTAATATTCCTTTCTAAGCGTCAAATAATCCACCTTTACATCAACTCAAAGATAAGCAAGTAGCAGTGTCCCACAACAAACCAAGATAATGCCAAAATAACTATACATGTGCAATGACTTCATCACACAAATGCTACATTACATACTTATATCCCAATGTCATTGCAAGTTTTCTATTGGCATCTGAAGCTAGACACAAAGATGCCAAACTGATGATGTGTGTCATGACATCACAACCCAAGCCCCATCATTTTGAACTTGGGTTGCAATGTCACATGCAAGAATGTAAGGACAAAGTTTGTGTTCAAAAAGGAAAAGCATCTGCAATTACTAATGCAGAAGTGAAATATCATAGGAACCATAAACTTCGTGCAATATTTCAAATGAGACTGTGGAGTAATATTAGCTGTATTCCAATTTCTATTTTGTTTGTAAATGTTGAACCCAAGATAGTGAAGTTACCCTTAATTTAAGAAACCTCACTGTTAGAATCTGGAGGATTTTCTTTTGAAATTACCATAGAAGAAAATTACAATTAGGACCACAATATTTCAGACCCATTTGTGCAAAATGAATGGCAATTTTAGCCTAACAAATAATGTCATTAAGTCAAAGTACTAACAGCCATAATATATAATATGCAATAGAGCAGACATACTTATTGGTTTGCATGTCAACTGTTCCTGATGTTATTATTTGAAGGAGTAAAAGTGCCCAGTCTGTGGTCCACTGAGTACTTCTTTGCACCGTATCAAACATTCCACCCACCTAGAATTGAACCATTGAAAAAAACAGAGATTAGAAAAAGATACATCAAATATACTGTGCAATCCTTATTTTCTAAATTTTCTTATTTTCTTTATCAGTAAATCTGTATCGGAAATGTTTTTAGACTGCAATATTGTATTGTGTACATTCCAAACAGTTTCCTTGGTGGAAGAGAATACTTTTATCTACTTCCTAAATCCTGACAAAGCAAGGACACATGGAAATGCTTTCCACAATCTAGGAGGGATACAGGAGAAGGCTTTTTCCCGCTTACCACATAATCCAATCTAGAAGTTGGGGAACCTTCATAAGGTGCTGTCCTGCTGTTCTTAATTATCTGTGTTTCCTTACATGATAGTCCTCTGGAGCTAGATTTTCAATAAAACAGTGAAATCTAAAATTTCCAATATCTAAAAACTGCCCATTGCCTAAAATTTATTCCACATCTATCAATGGGAAAAAATATAGTATGTTTGTGATCTTCCTAGTCATATTTTGTTTGTTTTTTACCATTCATATCTTATTCCATACCTGATTTTTTTTCATCACCAGGCATGGTATTTTAAAAACAAATGAAAAATTAGAGAAGGAAAGAAAACTTAATGACAAAGGTTGGCAAATAAAGACAAAGGTCTTTTCCTGTGATATGTTGCCTGTTTACTGCTGCTGCCTGCAAACATGATATTTTTAGTCACGTGTTTCTAGGGGCTGGAAATATTACTGTGAAGGATCATCTAACACCAAAATATCTGATGAAGACCTTTTTTCTTTGCCTGGGTTTTCTGTCATCTAGGGTAAACAGGCAGTAGGACTTGTTTTCACCTGCTCTGCTAAATGTTATTGACTTCTGTCCAGTTATTTTCTGATGTTTCATTTATCTCATTGCCCTTAAGTGTCTTGATTATTTAATCTCATATTTGCAGTGCCACTAGTTTAATCTCTTCAAAGATGCAAAATGCTAAGTTGTAAGGCAGTAGAATATTTAGAGAGGACAAAGAACAATAATAAAGCTAAGAAACATTATAAGCATCTTTCTATTTCAGGCAGTTAGAAGGTCTCTCTGAGAAGCAACACAAAATTATTCTAAATAAATAAATATTCCCTTTTCTTACCAAATTAAGACGGAGTTGTAATGCTTCATGCATCATTTGTCTAGTTTTAACATCATCCTGGTATCGTTCTTCCCTCCAGTTGCTTAATATCTAGGAAGAAAAATATGATTAGCACTGATGTGCTAAGACTATGTATTTAGTCCTGTCTAACATAGTATGACTTTTCTGCAGACTTTTACTGTACACTTCTCTTCTTATTTGATCATTGTTGCATTTCTGCTGGCTTTATTTATTCTGTCTCTTCCCTTTTAACAGAAAGCTGCACATATGGAAAACCATGGTACTATTTTCTATTCTAATATTTATTTTGATACAACTCTGAAATCCTTCAAAGGAAGCTATTTTGTCAGTTAAAATAATAATTCTTTTAATAATTTCTTGGCAAGATTTCAGAAGTGGTTTGCCATTGCCTCCTTCCTAGGGCTAAGAGAAAATGACTGGGTCAAGCTCACTCAGCTGGTTTTGTGTCTAAGGTGGGGCTAGAACTCATAATCTCCTGCCTTCTAGCCTGGTGCCTTAACCACTACACCAAGCTGGCTCTCACTCTAGTAATATCTAGATAAAAATCCCATATGAACAAAGCAAATAATAAATATTCTTTCTAGACAATACAAACTTTTCTGGGACAGACTGACAATACCTTTCCATTTGCCCTATCCATATACTTCTTCCTAACTATTACTGCGAAGTGTCAAGCTATGTTAAGACAGAAATATATGAATTCAGCATTCAAACTGAGGATCAATTAACAGTCATGCTAAGTCTTGTCTTCCTTCAATCTAATTCATGTACCAAAATCAAATACCAAAATGAAGTACAGTGTGGGCTAAATTTAGATGTGCTAATTTTTTCTTACATAGCATTCAAAATTAATACCTGCTCCAAATCCAATCTAAAAGGGCTAGTTAATTCTACTATCTCATTTACTTTAATGTGTAGATCAGGTCTTAATACATAGTTACAGAGCAGGACTCTAAGATTTCAGTGGGAATCATACTTTAATCTCTTGAAAAACCAGTTCTCCTTGCTGTATGATAAGCCTCTATTGGAACATAGGCAAGTGTTATAGCGTAGGAGATTACAGTGAAAAATAATTAAATATCTCACTGAGTTCATATAAATGTAGAAACTCATTTGAATTTGGTATTATTCCTACAGTGAAGATGTGGAAAGCCGGTATTGAAATGGGACAAGACTACTAGTATAATTCAAGGAATGGGTTATTGCTGGGCTGGTAACTATTTCTATTTCTGAGAAATTCAACATGTTTTGTAGGATACAAAAATGGTGAAGGACATCAGTGATAAACAAGATTTATAAATGAATTACTTTCACTTATTTTCCTATAACTGACATGAATGCAGTTTCAGATATGATTTCCCATCTGCCTTAATCCATTACTTTAATTGATTTTTAACAGATGCAGAGCACAGAATTATCTGTTTGTTTTTACCTGATTAACTTGATTTTGTAGAGATGTTAGAAGCCCTTCACGCTGCTCATCCTGTCCCTTGAGACAAGTAAGTACCAAAGACAGGAATGGTTGCTGACTCAGAAGAGACATACTTAAAAAAGCAAAGAGGGCATTGAATTAGTAGTGTCATTCTGATACTTCCTCTCCCTAAATCCTTCCTTCCCCTTTTCAGTGCTTCTCTAAAAGGATTTCTTTATGAAGCCTCATCACTATTTTAATGGGCAAAAACCACAAAATTGTTCCTGCCTTAACTCATGCATGTGACTAGATTGATGGTTCAAACGGTTTATAGTCCAGGCCAGGAGAACTCCTCTTATGTTCTAATGGTAGGAAATTTCTCCAAAACATTGATAACTTTTGCAGTAATAAGGAATCTCTGGAGAATAATAATTTATATAGGTATCCCCTGCCCCCAATGTATGAAAGCATAGAAAAGTTTTCTGCAGTCATATACAAATCAATTTAGATAGGATTCCTGGGGATAGCAAGCACAAAACTACTTGTTTAGGCAAATGGTTCAATATTGCCTAATATTAAGAGATGTGTGACACCTTTTTCTCATAAAACAGGCCTCTCAAATCCTCTTGTAGTTTGAGGCAAGTCAGTTCATCCTATATATTTTACAGAAAAGGCAAAGAAGTATAAGATTCTTGTGTTCCCTGTTCCATTTTGTATTTTACTTTCATGGTGACAGAAATAGTATGTAATTTCTAATACTATTTAGATTACTAAGCAACTCAAAGAACATTTAGCAAGGAGCATCTTCTCATCTTGGTAACCAAGTGTTATTTAATTCATTTTTGACAACTAATAACTAGTTCAAGACAAATTAATACTAATAAATAGTATTAATTTAATTTTGAAACATAAAATTGGATGTGGATGATAAAAGAAAAGAAAAATTCCAAATTCAGACAAGAATATGAATTACTGGAATATTTTTCAGTGAAAGACGCACATCTTGGTATGTCATGATTTACCATGCATTCCAAATTTCTAGGCCGAATCCTATATAAGAGTTAAATGTCTATTCGAAAAAGAAGATCTTATTTGTAATAAGTAGATCTATTGTAAAAGTGCTTATCTTCATGTGAAAATTAAAGGGGCAAAATAAGTTGCTTTGGTATTCTTTTCATAATCTTTGGGATAAGTATTCAGTTTAGTTTTCAAAACACTATGATATTTCTAGGCAACCGGGAGCATCAAAGGTAAACCTCCCTTTATTTAAGAATTTACTGGGTTAATTTCCTTAAAAATGAATGCCACACCATTGACTTTTTTTTTCCAAAAACAAAAACAAAAGATGGCTACTGGTTTCTTTAGTGAAGGATCAAATTCTGCAGGTCATCTTTCCAGCAGATATTACTGCTTTAAAATACAGCAATATTTTCCAGTATCTTCTACCTCTTCTGTTTTTGCCTGTCTCTCTCCTTCTTTGAAGATGATCCCAAGTGCTGGCCTTTCTCTAGCTCTTCTCCAGCTACTTTCAAGACTCTGCCTTGAACAGACGTCGGCAGCTTTGCAATCAGGGGAGCCACTAACCAGACACCTCGTCGTTCAGAAGAGCTAAAGACATGAAACACATAAGATATTTCGAGCAGAATATTATTCAATATTATTCAATATATTCAGTACTTTTTCTCATATTTAAATATATACACGAGATTTTAGTAACCTACTATATGCCTTAAAATAAGGCACAGAATTCCACACAGGGTAATAAAGAAAGAAAGTTAAATAAGAAATAAATAAATCTTAAATTGAGAATTGATGTGTGTAAGGCATGTGGTGTTAGGGACAGGACTAGGGAGAGCCATGTCCAAGTCCACCCTCAGCCACAGTGAATGCTCACTGCATGATTTTGGCCAATCACTCTTTCTGAGCCCACATTTCACAGCATAGGGTTGCTTTAAAGAGGAAAAATTAGAAGAGAGAATGCCATGTATGCCACTTTAAGCAACTGGAGGAAAGGCAGAATATATACTGAGTACAGTAGAGTAATACAGGAAATCCTCAACTTACGACCAAAATTGGGACCAGAACTTCCATCGCC